CTCATCCTGTTCTCACAGCGGCCAAACCAGCAAGCAGGATTTGAGCACAAGACCCCTCTCTCCTCCTGTGGCTTCCAGCAACTGGGACCCCAGAGGCATTGCTCATGGAGACAGAGTAAGCCATCATGGATAGTAGCCATCGACAGCCCTCTGCTTTGTGAATTTGCCTCACCTCCTTTTAAAGACATTCAGGTTGGTGGCAATCCGTGCTTCCTGTGGGAGGGAGTTCCACAGGTTAACCTATGTGCTGTGTGAAGAAGGGCTTTTAAAAAAATCTGCCCTGAATCTGCCAACGTTCAGCTTCTGCTACTGTAAAGGTAAAGGGACCCCTGAACATTAGGTCCAGTCGTGGCCGACTCTGGGGTTGCGGCGCTCATCTTGCTAGAGAGCCAGTGTGGTGTAGTGGTTAAGAGCGGTAGTCTCATAATCTGGGGAACCGGGTTCGCGTCTCCGCTCCTCCACATGCAGCTGCTGGGTGACCTTGGGCCAGTCACACTTCTCTGAAGTCTCTCAGCCCCACTCACCTCACAGAGCGTTTGTTGCGGGGGAGGAAGGGAAAGGAAAATGTTAACCGCTTTGAGACTCCTTTGGGTAGTGATAAAGCGGGGTATCAAATCCAAACTCTTCTTCTTCTTCTTCTTCTACTGGCCGAGGGAGCTGGCGTACAGCTTCTGGGTCATGTGGCCAGCATGACTAAGCCACTTCTGGCAAACCAGAGCAGCGCATGGAAACGCCGTTTACCTTCCCACTGGAGCGGTACCTATTGATCTACTTGTACTTTGATGTGCTTTCGAACTGCTAGTTTGGCAGGAGCAGGGACTGAGCAAAGGGAGCTCACCCCGTCACAGGGATTCCAACCGCCGACCTTCTGATCGGCAAGTCCTAGGCTCTGTGGTTTAGCCCACAGCACCACCCACGTCCTCTGCTACTGTATGAAGGGAAAAAATCTCTATTTCTTGCTCTACCCACTTTTGAACATGGACTTCAGAAGATTTTGCAGAAGGGAATGTGGCCACTGGGTTTCCCCACCCGTTCTTCTGAGGACCTAGTGCCACCTTCCCCTTGGAGGGTGTGCTAAGTTCAGTGAACTGAGTTTACAAAGCTATGGTACTACTAACCTTTCTGTATGCTTGTGAAACGTGGACCACTTATAAACGTCATCGCCAACACCTCGAAAGATTCCATCAGTGGTGTCTCAGAAAAATTTTACACATCACTTGGGAAGACAGGCAAACTAATACCAGTGTACTGGAAGAAGCAAAGATCACCAGTGTTGAAGCAATGATTCTTCAACATCAACTTCGTTGGACTGGTCATGTTGTGCGGATGCCTGATGATCGTCTTCCAAAGCAACTACTCTATTCTGAACTTAAAAATGGAAAGCGTAATGCTGGTGGTCAACAAAAGAGGTTTAAAAATGCTCTCAAGGCAAATTTTAAAAATGTAGTATAAACACCCACAATTGGGAAACACTGGCCTGCAAGCGCTCCAATTGGAGAACAGCCTTCACCAAAGGTGTCATGGGCTTTGAAGACACTCAAATTCAGGACGCAAGGGAGAAACGTGCTAAGAGGAAGGCACACTTGGCAAACCCTCACTGTGATCAACTCCTGCCCAGAAACCAATGTCCCTACTGTGGAAGGACGTGTGGATCCAGAATTGGCCTCCACAGTCACTTATGGACTCACTGTAAAAACTGTATTTATGGAAGATAATCTTACTCGGCTACGAGGGATCGCCAAAGAAAGAAGAAGAAGTTGAAAGAAGGGGTCCAGAATTGAGTTACAGTCATCATGCACAGAAAATTCGTTTGGATTCCCTGTGTTTTAACAGAGGGCTCCCGACTTCACACGCTTCTTCCTGCCATTATGGATAGTTCTGACCTTTCCCCCCAACAAGTAAATTGCCTGTTTGTGTGCAAATGTCAACACATTTGTCTTGCAGAATGTGCTGTCTGTGTAGAAGCCCAGGTCCAGCTCTGGTGCAGAATTAGGACTCAGCACACCCATGGTTACACCTCGGTAGCGCAATGGGACCTGGTGAAAGCTGCAGCGAGGATACGGATCTCACCCATATCTGTGATCCTTGCAAACCCTTGATCTGTGGTACGGGCCATGTTACCACAACCCTCGCTCCACATTTATGAAAGTTTTAGTGTGCTGGCGCCTAAACACTTTGGAACTCCCTGCCTCTTGACCTCGGGCAATTCACCGGACACTTTTTGGCACCTGCTAAAAACATTTCTGCTTAGACAAGCCTACCCAGACATTTAGAAAGTCAGTGAGAGTTTTCATCTGGTTTTACGCTTTCAAAAGTCTCAGGCTGTTGACGTTTTCCTTAGCGATAATTTTATTGCTTTTCGTAAACTGCTTTGAGGTTGTTGGTTTTTACAAGACAGTATAGGGCAGCATATAAACCAGGGGTCAGCAAACTTTTTCAGCAGGGGGCCGGTCCACTGTCCCTCAGACCTTGTGTGGGGGGATGACTATATTTATTTCTATTTTTTTGGGGGGGGAGAATGAACGAATTCCTATGCCCCACAAATAACCCAGAGATGCATTTTAAATAAAAGCTCACATTCTACTCATGTAAAAACATGCTGATTCCCGGACCGTATGTGGGCCGGATTGAGAAGGTGATTGGGCCGGATCCAGCCCCCGGGCCTTAATTTGCCTACCCATGATATAAACAAACAAACAAACAAACAAACAAACAAACAAACAATACATTCAAGCAGTGTAACAGATTGAGGTTGAATCCTGACAAGACAGAAGTACTGTTTTTGGGGGACAGGAGGCGGGCTGGTGTGGAGGATTCCCTGGTCCTGAATGGGGTAACTGTGCCCCTGAAGGACCAGGTGCGCAGCCTGGGAGTCATTCTGGACTCACAGCTGTCCATGGAGGCGCAGGTCAATTCTGTGTTCAGGGCAGCTGTTTACCAGCTCCATCTGGTACGTAGGCTGAGACCCTATCTGCCTGCGGACTGCCTCGCCAGAGTGGTGCATGCTCTGGTTATCTCCCGCTTGGACTACTGCAATGCGCTCTACGTGGGGCTACCTTTGAAGGTGACCCGGAAACTACAACTAATGCAGAATGCGGCAGCTAGACTGGTGACTGGGAGCAGCCGCAGAGACCACATAACACCGGTCTTGAAAGACCTACATTGGCTCCCAGTACGTTTCCGAGCACAATTCAAAGTGTTGGTGCTGACCTTTAAAGCCCTAAATGGCCTTGGTCCAGTATATCTGAAGGAGCGTCTCCACCCCCATCGTTCTACCTGGACACTTGAGGTCCAGTGCCGAGGGCCTTCTGGCGGTTCCCTCACTGCAAGAAGCCAAGTTACAGGGAACCAGGCAGAAGGCCTTCTCAGTAGTGGCGCCTTCCCTGTGGAACGCCCTCCCACCAGATGTCAAAGAGAACAACAACTACCAGGCTTTTAGAAGACATCTGAAGGCAGCCCTGTTTTGGGAAGCTTTTAATGTTTGATGTATTATAGTATTTTAATATTCCTTTGGAAGCCACCCAGAGTGGCTGGGGTAGCCCATCCAGATGGGCGGGGTATAAATAAATTATTATTATTATTATTATTATTATTATTATTATTATTATTATTTATATCTGACTACTGAAGCAGAGTTTCTGTTTTTCTCTCTGCACCCTGCTCTGATCTCTCTCTCTCTCTCTCTCTCTCTCACACACACCCACACCCACACACACCCCATATCTCAGTCTGCACCGCTCTTAACAGGCACAGAAAACCTCTGGTATTTCTGGCTCATGATAATCTTCCATTACCTACAAGTGGTTAGGTCAACATGTTTTCCTTGTATAATGAAATCCATTACCATCACCTTTCGCTTAAACCCTAGAATTGCCACTCGGTCTCCTTTCAAGGAAACTCATTTCTTTGGACGGGAACCCACGCAGGAGATACATTTGCCGGGTCATCATTTGGGCTTCAAAATGGATTTGACCTCTTGCTTTGCATCTCCTCCTCCTCCTCCACTCCTGCCCCCTCCCCAGCTTTTATCCTCCCCGCCATTAGGCTCACGAAATTTCATTGCGATCATGGGAAACAAACGAGGCAATGGGGTCGGAGAGGCTCTTAGCCCCCCTCCACCAGTCGGCTCCTATTTTTAATTAAAAGTTCACAATGCTCCTTTGCCTTCAAGGCCCTTCTCCTGCACTCTGTGGACCTGGCCGTCCACTCCAGTTAGATTTAGCCAGCAAATCTAACTCTTGAGTGAGGCAGAAATGGATATTTCTCCTTCCTTCCATTATGCTCTAAGTTGTTTGGGTAGCGTTCGGCGGGGAAGGAAAATAAATGAAATCGATGTAATTGAGTGGCCGATTTTGGCCAATAATGGCCCTCTGAGAATTTTAATCAAATGGAAAAGTCCTCCAGAAAGGTCAAGGACCATAAGTTGTTTTCCCCTCAATGCCTCACCTTTTCACTTAATGGCCCAGCGTCTCACTTAACTGCCATGGAGACGGGCTGCTCAGATCAAAAACAAACAGGCTCCGCAAAGCTCAGGCAAGCCTCTAGCCCTCATGGGGGCAGAGAACCCCCTGCCCCCCAGGATCCCAGAACCCCTCTCAGGTTGAGTTTGTTGGAAAGAGGCTATAGCTCGGGGGTCATAACTCAGTGGTCCCCCTTCTCTCAGTCCTGCACAGGAGAGGGCCTTCTCAGTGTTGTTGTTGTTGTTTAGTTGTTTAGTTGTGTCCAACTCTTCATGACCCCATGGACCAGAGCACACCAGGCACTCCTGTCTTCCACTGCCTCCCACAGTTTGGTCAAACCCATGCTGGTAGCTTCGAGAACACTGTCCAACCAACTCGTCCTCTGCCGTCCCCTTCTCCTTGTGCCCTCCATCTTTCCCAACATCAGGGTCTTTTCCAGGGAGTCTTCTCTTCTCATGAGGTGGTCAAAGTCTTGGAGCCTTAGCTTCAGGATCTGTCCTTCCAGTGAGCACTCAGGGCTGATTTCCTTCAGAATGGAGAGGTTTGATCTTCTTGCAGTCCATGGGACTCTCAAGAGTCTCCTCCAGCACCATAATTCAAAAGCATCCATTCTTCGGCAATCAGCCTTCTTTATGGTCCAGCTCTCACTTCCATACATCACTACTGGGAAAACCATGGCTTTAACTATACGGACCTTTGTTGGCAAGGTGATGTCTCTGCTTTTTAAGATGCTGTCTAGGTGTGTCATGAAGACAGAAGTGCCTGGCGTGCTCTGGTCCATGGGGTCACGAAGAGTCAGACACGACTAAACGACTAAACAACAACAACAGGTTTGTCATTGCTTTTCTCCCAAGAAGCAGGCGTCTTTTAATTTCGTGGCTGCTGTCACCATCTGCAGTGATCATGGAGCCCTATGCCCCCTCAAACCAACTGTTCCAGCAGCCACATAATACCCATTTCACACTTGTAAGAAATTGATCATCAGGAAGAACTTTCTGACAGGAAGAGCTCTTCGATAGTGGAACGGTCTCCCTCGGGAGGCTGTGGGCTCTCCTTCCTTGGAGGTTATTAAGCAGAGGTTGGACGGCAATCTGTCATGGATGCTTTAGCCGAGATTTCTGCATTGCAGGGGGTTGGACTGGATGACCTTTGGGGTCCCTTCCAAATAAAGATATACTAAAACTGGGTGCTACATACATTCTCCTAGGGTTGTGAGATTTGAAACAGGAGGAAGAGGGAATTTCAGAATTTGCTCAAAGTTGGTGCTGACCTTTAAAGCCCTAAACGGCCTCGGCCCAGTAGACCTGAAGGAGCATCTCCACCCCCATCATCCAGCCTGGACACTGAGGTCCAGCTCCAAGGGCCTTCTGGTGGTTCCTTCACTGCAAGAAGTGAGCTTACAGGGAACCAGGCAAAGAAAAACCACCAGACTTTTCAGAGACATCTGAAGGCAGCCCTGAGCCCTGTCTTGTATTTTAATATTCTGTTGGAAGCCACCCAGAGTGGCTTGAGGATCTTTCCATCCTCTGAGTCTCGCAGTGCCAACAACAACAACAACAACAACAACAACAATTTATTATTTATACCCCACCCATCTGGCTGTGTGGCAGTTCATTTCCTGGGGTAAAACCCTAAGAAAAACTCAACAACTTCAATTCTAAAAAAAGTTCAACAACTTTGGATGGCCCTCACGCATGTTCACTTCATCAAATCTGGCCCTCTTTGAAAAAAGTTTGGGCACCCCAGATACACAGAGATGCATCTTGCCATTGTGGGCTGGGACTGTTCAGACTGCTGCCAGCTCCTCAGGGCTGGCGGGCAACAATCTAGTCCAGCGGTTCTCAACCTGTGGGTCCCCAGATGTTGTTGGACTACAACTCCCATCATCCCTGAGCTCTGGCCTTGCTAGCTAGGGGTGATGGGAGTTGTAGTTTAACAACATCTGGGGACCCACGGGTTGAGATAGGCTGATCTAGTCCAACCCACTGAAATGAAGGAATCTCACGTAAAGCATCTCTGTCAGACGACCAACCTCTGCTTAAAAACCTGCAAGGAAACAGAGTCCACCACCTCTCATGGGAATCCGTTCCACTGTCAAACAGCTCTTACTGTCAGAAAGCTCTTCCTGATGTTTAGTCGGAATCTCCTTTCTTGCAACTTGAAGCCATGGGTTCGAGTCCCACCCTCCAGAGCAGGAGAAAACAAGTTGGCTTCATGAGACAGCCCAGAAGATGGCTGTCATATCTCCTCTGGGCTGTTTGAACTGGATTCTTTAATTGAATAATGGATGTTTATATTTTAACGTTTTAGTAATCAGATCGGATTCTCTGCTTTGCCCCTAGCCATCAGACCATCACAAAACAAAAGTATGTGAGAGCATGAAAGTAACTCAAGGTGACGTCAACAGACACTGACTCAGACCCGAATGAGCTGCAGCGTTAAACTTAAAATGCGGGAGATTTTTGTTTGTTGTTTGCCACTGCGCTTGTTGCAGTCTCTGTCTATTCCATCGCCAGGCTAGAGAGCATTCTTCTCTCTCTCTCTCTCTCTCTCTCTGGTTCGCAAAAAGAGCATCTGTTGACATTAAAGATGAAGGGAGTTTATGCAAATGCTCTGAAAGGAGTCTAAGGTTGAAACAGCAATGAAAAGGTCACCGGACGACAAACTTTTTAGCCTTTCTCTTTCTTCCAGGACCAAACATCAACAAAACAAGCCTTAATGAGCTTAGAGTACCAAATGACTCCGTCTTGAGCTGGCAGATGCAGGGACTCTGCTCTGGGACACAAATCTCCACACACACACACACACACACACACACACACACACACACACTCCAGCCTTCCCCAGCATTGTGCCCTCCAGATGTTTATGACAACTGGTGGGGACCGTTGGGAGTTGTAGTTCGAAGCACCAGGAAAGCACCCCATTGCAGAAGGCTGCTGGCACTCCAAGTGTCCCATCCCCAAATTTAAGGTGGGCTCCAGTTCCCATCCTCTCCTTGCCCTTTAACAGGGCCGGATTTAGGCTGGATGAGGCCCTAAGCTACTGAAGGTAATGGGGACCTTTATATGTCCAGCTGTCCTTTGTCAACAACAAATTGCCACTGTTTTTTGTGCTGAATATATGCTATATGGTCATTTATGGACCTAAAGCCATTTGCACATATTGCCCTGCAACCAGTCCATGCAGAATGTAGGCACCCTATACAGTGGTACCTCAGGTTAAGTACTTAATTCGTTCCGGAGGTCCGTTCTTAACCTGAAACTGTTCTTAACCTGAAGCACCACTTTAGCTAATGGGGCCTCCTGCTGCTGCCGCGCCGCCGGAGCACGATTTCTGTTCTCTCTTTTTTTTAAAATGATATTTATTGAAAGTTTAAAATTACAGAGAATAAAAAAGAGAGAAGGAGAAGAAGAAGAAGAAAAAGAAGGAAAAGAAAAGAAAAAAAGGAAATATATATATATATATATAATCAGAAAAACAAGGAATTGAACAATACAAGTCAATGAAAAGAAAATAAGAAAAATACAAAACACACAATACATCAAAACCAACAAAAAAAAGGAAAAACAAAAAATTTAAAAACAAATCCAGTATTCCCAAATCTTTATTTTTCATTAACTTGTTTCATCGACCTCCTCACACCTCCCTTTTTTGTATTCTAATTGTTAATTATCTCAGCAAATCCTTTCCATCTTTCACTATATTCTATCTTTAAATTACCTTAATTTATTTTAACCTTATTTTACCATAAAAAGCCCTAGAGCTTAAAACTTAAAACTTATTTATACATAATTCCTTATAGTATTTCTACTAAAGCCAAATAGTTTCATTCCAGCATTTTTCTAACACCCGTTAATTTTACAATAATTCTCTAAATGAATTTTTAAACTTTCTTCCAATCTTCATCCATCGTCTCTTCTTCCTGGTCTCGGGTTTTGTCAGTCCTTTCTATCCCTTCCATCTAGTCCATTAACCTGGTGACCTTCTATCCGAGGCTCTTAAGTCTTTTCCATGTCCCTTCTGCAGATCTTCTTCATGTTTATACCTGCACTTTACTTTATCTTCTGCTGATCTTATTCTTAATTTCCTTCCTTTCTCACTGAGGGGTAGATCTCGGGGAGACTCCAACTTGACAATGTCTTTATCCCTTCTCGACAGGTCAGCCCACTCTCCACAGTCAGCACTGAAATCCAAAAGATATTTGAAGGCATGTTTCAAAGTCCCTCCAAAGTTAAGGGCCCCCACAACTCCAAGCTCCCCCTGGCCCACAACCAGATCCCAAAAGTCAGAACATCCCTGCATAGGGGGATCCATCCAGCTTCCCATCTCCAAACCAAACAGTACTCCATCTCTCCCAATCTGACTTTCTCCAGGTTCAGTCGTCAGAAACAACAACTTATTTTCCTGCAAGGCTGCGGCTCTCTCCATTTCTATTACTTGAGGTTCAGCAACAACCTCCTCCTTTGTCTTCTGCACAACTTGCCCTGTCAAAGCAAATTCCTGAAATGGTTCCTGAGTAGTTTCTATGTAGGTATTCGCCGTTTGTCCAAAATTGCTAACTGCAGCAGTCATCAAATCCATCTTTTCATGTAGCTGTTCCAGTAAAGTGCTTGTCTTGCAAAGAGCAAGCAGTAAAACCTCTTCTAGACACATTCTTGCTCAAGGTCAATGGCTGGTTCCCACGATCTTTAATCTCTGCAGCTGTAAAATTCCCCAGATCGACTCCGGCAACAGTATCACAAGCTCCCTCTAGAGGAAACAATTTCTGTTTGTATCCGTCTTTTTGAAAGCAGCTCCAGCAACAAAGTTACTTTCGTTTTCCATATATTTTATTCCTTTTTATATGCAGAAGGAAACATTGGAATCAATATGTTTCTCTTTTTTAACTATCTGTCAAAAAACGTTTTATTCACAGTCAATGAACTTCCCCAAAGCGTCTGTCTCTGACACCCCGTTCCCAGGTTCAAGACGGTGGAAATTTATCTTTCTTTACTCTCTCTCCTGCAGGTTTAAACAATCTAAGATTTCCCCCCTCTTCTCCTGCTTCCAAGAGGGGTTTTGGTGGTTTTAACTGATGAAAATTTAGTCCTTTACAAACGACTTTCCAGACTTTAGCTTGCAATGTCTTTGCTTCAATCTATTTACAAAAGCGGAAGGCGGACTTCCTGTTTAGACCTTCCCGCTTCAGTGCCAAATTAGTTCAACTTTTAAAACTCCAATTCTTCACTTTACTCACGGGTAGTTACTTTTAAATCCAATTGTCCACAGGAAAAAGTCAGCGCTCTCCGGCAACAGCTGTGCGGCTTCACTCCGTGAAAGTAGCAATCAGTTCAAAGCACCGCGCTGCTCACCCCACTTCGCTCCGGAGCTCCAAAATAGGTTACCCCACGAGTAGGGGAGGTGCTCTTGGTGCCTGCCGAATCCCACGTTCCCAGGCTTCCTCCGCCTGGGATTTTTAAGGGGTCCCCGCCTTCGCTGCGGCGGCAAGACCCGATTCTCACGGAGCGGGTTCCTCTCGGTCAGAGGAACTCCGCCATTGCCAATGGCGCTAACCCAGAAGTCCACAATTTCTGTTCTCATCCTGAAGCAAAGTTCTTAACCTGAAGCACTATTTCTGGGTTAGCGGAGTCTGTAACCTGAAGCGTATGTAACCTGAAGCGCATGTAACCCGAGGTACCACTGTATATAGAAATGAGCAAACTAGTAATATTTTAGGGAGCAGGTGAGCAGGCGGGGCCCATGACTTACATCATAGGTGCCTACACAACACAAAATACTGTTGCTGAATGTAGGTTTTATTTTATTTGCTTTTTTTATCTTGTATTTTGGAAATGTACATCCAGGTTTTTTCCCCCTTTAA